AAAAAATAAAAATAAAATACCATTGAACCACACCACTCTCTTGCTTAGATCCTTCTGGTCTTTTCCATTATCTATAGAGTAAATTGCCTAACCCTCAAATGCTATGAAGGGCTTTATGTAGTTCAGCCCTTGCCTCTCTCTCCAGCCTCGTTCTGAGCAGACTTCATGCTCCAAGAATACAAAACTATTAGTTTTCTGACATAATCAAGACTCTTTGTATTTTTCATAATATTTTCTGTACTTGGCACATTCAATATTTTCCTTTATAACTTGTTTTTATGTCCTGTTTAAGAACTATTTGATTACCCAAAGTTACAAAGACAGTATGAGTAGATATCAAGGCTTCTTGTTTTCTATATGGATATTCAATTGACCCAACACCATCTATTAAAACACCCATTTTTTCTCCACATTACTAGTGTCACCTTTGAACAAGTAAAACGTTCACATATGCATCTGTCTGAGAACTCTGTTCAGTTCCATTTGTCTACTTTCTAATATCTGGTAGTATAACTCTTCCAATTTGTTCTTCTTCCATGTTGTCTTGGCTATTCTTGGTCTTCTAAAATTCCCATATAAATTTTAGAATCAGCTCAATTTACATACCCACACACAACCTGCTTTGATTCTAATAGTGAATAGACTAAATCTGCAGATCAATTTGGGGAGAACTAACATTTTTACATTACTGAGTCCTCTGATGATCTATGACTATAGTATACCAGTCCAGTTACTTGGGTCTTCTCTAATTTCTCTAAATAATAAATATTCAATACAGAGTTCTTAGACTACACAAATCTTCCATTAAAATTTATTCCTAGGGTGAATTCCTGGACAGGGCCCCAAAGATGTCAAGTCCTAGCCTCTGGAACCTGTAAACATTACCTTATTTGGAAAAAACAGGTCTTTGCAGATTTGATTAACTATGGATCTTGAAACAAGGAGATAATTCTGGATTATCCAGACAGGCATTAAATGACATTAGTTTGGGTTTGTGTTTTTTTTTAAAGATTTTATTTATTTATTTTTAGAGAGGGGGAAAGGAAGGAGAAAAAGAGAGAAACATTGATGTGTGAGAGATACATCAATTGGTTGCCTCTTACCCAACCCCCAACTGGGGACCTGGCCCACAAGCCAGGCATGTGCCAACTGTGAATCAAAACAGCGCCTTTCAATTTGCAGGCTGGCACTCAATCCACTGAGTCACACCAGCCAGGGCACCATTAGTGTCCTTACATGATGAAGGAAGAGGGAAATTCGAGACAAAGAGGAGGAGGTAATGTGAAGATGGAGGCAGAGCTTAGTGATGTGGCTTCAAGCCATGGAATGCCAGCAGACAAAAGAAACCAGAAAAGGCAAGAAACAGATCCTTTTCTAGAGCCTATGGAAGGACTATGGTTCTGACACCTTGATTTTGGACCTCTGGTCTCCAGAACTTTTGAGAGAATAAAATTGTTTTAGGCCACTGAGTTTGTGGTAATCTATTATAGAGCACCCATAGGAACTAATATACTAGGTATTTGATATTTTTGACGTATTTGTATATCACTTTTTTAAAAATTCATTTTCTAATTAGGTAGGCTAGTATATAAAAATATAATTAATCTTTATATGCTGACTATATGCAGCAACTTGCTAAATTCACTTATTAATACTAATTGTTTATAGATTATAATTTTATATATAGACTATGATTTTTCCAAATAACAGATTTATGTATTTGTTTCTAACCCTGATACATTCTACCCTTGCATTTTTGCAGGCACCAGGATGTCCAGTGCAGTAATGAAGTATATACTCCTATCTTTTGATTTTGGAACTATTAGAATGTATTGTCTGTTCCACATTTAAAGTAAAAAGGAAATAGTAAAAAAAAGAAATTAAATACAGTAAGAAAACAGCCACACAAAATAATGAACATTTCTAATTGACAAATGCAAAGGCCATTTCTTAAAGCCTTCCCATGACTCTACATCATTGGACAGTTTGTGAACCCTTCTTAAAGCTTTCTTCTTCTTGTCCAGATTCTTTCCTCCTTTGGCCCCTTACCCAAGATTTTCTCCTTTGCTCATGTCTCTTTCAAGACTGCCCTGTTAAATGTTGGGAAATCATTTTAAGGCCCATTAGCATTCTTCTGAACCAGGCCACACTCCTTTTCTTTAGGGGCAAATCAGAAACTTGCTTTCCTTTCTTTTTAAAAAATGCCATAACCCACCTCCCTCCCCGAGGTTTTTCTCCCAGGAGTGGAATGCAGTCTGTCTTGTTCTGCCCTCTTTGATGTGCTCAGAATGTGGCATGTTCTTACTGTAAGGGTTTTACAGTAATAAAAATAGGTTATAAAAGTCCCCTAATCTTCAATGTTTTGGACGTTGATCTGCATGCAGAGTTGATCTGTATGCAGAAAAGCGGGTGGAAGGTGTTACAAAGTTGGACGTCAGAAAGTTGTCTGGCCGAGAGGCCTCCGAGTGGCATTTCTTGGTGAATTCACTCAGAACAGGACTGGAGATGCTGAATCATGTTTTTCAGAAGCTTGTGTATATAAAACAGTGGGAAATATAACTGTCAAGGAAAATGGCTATTCATCTCATTTGGCCAGGACGTTCTCTCCTTATAGAAAAACTATAAGGCAATTAAAATATCTTAACTTTGTTGAGAAAAGGAATAAAAGGTTGTTGTATGATTTAAATATTGAATGGAATTATATCAATCTTTGATAGAGAGATGAAACTGTCTCCACTACCAGAACCAGATAGATTTTGCACCTGCTCGGCAGACTTTCCCCTTTAGACATGGGCCCTGCCAAATATTTATTTCCCAGGCTTTTCTTGGCTCATTTCCTGATTTCTTTGAGTGAAGCCTTGCTCTGGTCAGAAGGGCTTATTTCTGGTTTGATCCACTCTGCATTGACCTAAACTAGAACCCTGCCAGGGCAATCTTTTTAAGTGTTTGGAAAATACCTTATTGTTGACCCCAAATAGTGCTCTGCATACATCTGCATACTAAGATGCTCACAGTCTTCACATACTAACTCATGAGAGAGAGAGAAAAAAGAAAATCATAAATAGCCCCCAACGCCAGGCAGTCTGGCACATACCCGAAGTCCTCAAACCTGGGGTACGAATAACGCAGTCCCCTATTCCTCCTGCCTAATGCAATTCAGAAAAGCACTACAGAGCACATCTCCTGCCAGGCTGGAAAGCCTGCCAGAATGCAGCTCCGTCTTCACCTCCGCCTCAGGACTCCGCCCTCGCTACAGCTCTCCTCCAAGCGTTGACCACAGGCTGACACCGACTGGGTAGGCGCCAACTGGGCAAGAACCCCGTCCTCATTTCGCCATTGAGAGCAGCCACTCCCAAACTAATGAAATACCAGCCGGGAAAAAAAAAAAAAAAAGGAAAAGAAAGATAGCAAGAGAAGGTGAGAAGAGGAAAACGGGGGTAGGGGTAAGGCTAAAAACAAAAAAACCTTTTAGCAAAATGTAGCTGCATCGCTCAGCACTGGAAACTCAGCTCGGCACCATCAAGTCTCTCTAGGGAATCAGGCCCCAGGTCAGAGAGTCAGAAACAAAAACTGCAGCGTGTATGACCCAGTCTACTCCTCTGGTTGGATGGGCCTGGGAACGCACAGGCCGCCCTGCTCCACTGCTCGACTCCACAGCGAGCAAGCGCGCACACCCTCTGGATGCCTGCGGAGGGACCCTGGAACCCAGTACCCAGCCCAACGCAGTTCCTGAAGAGGGCTGCGCTCCCACCGGGGCGCATCCGGCCCCGCAAACCCCTCAGAAAAAGAGGGGCGGCTCCCAGGACTCGGGCGCCTCAGGTCGCGCGGGCCTTTCTCACGCTAGCCGCGTTCCTTCCGCCCGGAGAGGGCAAAGAGTCCCGCTCCTTCACGTGCGCCTCCGCCCGAGCTCCACAGCGCCCCCTAGGAAGGAAGTCCGAGAGGCGGCGGCGCCTCTGCGGCGATTTCATTAGTGATCATGGGGGGGAGGTTGCCCCGTCTGCCGGCTAGCGGGGCTTCCCCGGCCCTCCCCGCCTTCCCCCCACCTACCCCTCCCCGGCAGCCGGAACCTCCCTGCGGGGCGGAGTGATACTGACGGTGGGGTAGAGCTCGGCCGAGCGGGGAGCCCGGGACTTCGTGGGGCGGGAGGCGAGCGGAGGGGGGAGGAGAGAGAGGCGGGGCCGGGGCGGGTTGTTGTGAGGCGACTGCGCTACTGCCGGACCGGGGCGGTTATGGCGGCTCCATATTAACACCCTCCTCCTCCTCCTCCTCCTCCTCCTTCGCTGCCGTCTCCTCCTCCTCCTTTCCCTCCCGCCCGCCCTCGTGAGCGATCTCCCCCTTCACCCAGCCGCCTACCTCTTCCCCTCACCTTTCCCCCTCCCCTCTTCTACCATGCCCGGCATGATGGAGAAAGGGCCCGAGTTACTGGGGAAGAACCGATCGGCCAACGGCAGCGCCAAGAGCCCGGCGGGCGGTGGCAGCGGCGCCTCGTCCACGAACGGCGGGCTGCACTTCTCAGAGCCCGAGAGCGGCTGCAGCAGCGACGACGAGCACGGTGGTAGCCTCGAACTCCTCCCCGCCAGCCCGCCTGCCCCCTCCCTCCTCCCCTCCCCCAGCCCCCTCCCTCCCTCCGCCTTGCTCCCGCGCTCCCTCCCCTCGGAGCCCGGGCGCTGCGGGCGCTGCGGTCGCCTCGAACTCCCGGTGCAGTGCAGCAGCACCCCCACGACCCCCGTCCCTCCGCCCTCGACCAATCCCCCGCCCTCGACCAATCCCCCGCCCTCATCCCCCCTCCCCGCCCCCATCCTCTGCCATCTCCCGGAGTGCCCGGAGTTAATATCTTCCCAGCCACCCTCCGCTTCTTTCCTCCCTCCAGCAATTTTTATATTTTATTAAGTGTCTCTTCCTTTTTCTCTTTTCTTTTTCTTTCTTTTCTTTTTCCTCTCTCTTTCTCTGTCTTTTGGCATTGCTTTGCAGATGTTGGGATGAGAGTCGGAGCTGAATACCAAGCCCGGATCCCTGAATTTGATCCAGGTAGATATATTTGCTTAGGTGAAATCCAGTCTCCCCTTTTCTGGGATTTCTTTAGGGTGTAAGGGGTAGAGGGCGGGCGGGCGGGCGGGCAAGATCGGGGTCCGGGTGCGCGTTTGGGAGGGGATGCGGGGCTGGGATGGGCAGGCATCTCTGGCGGGGAGGCTGTCAGGCTTGGCAGGGCTGTGACACAGGGCGTGTGGGCAGATGTGTGCATTGCAAGGTTAACATGGTTTCTTTGGAGGCCACTTGCCCACTAGTGGCATCGCCCTTCTGCCCCCTGAGCTCGAGGTGAGGTCGGGGAGAGCAGAGGGAGCCGGCCCTTCGCGCATTAGGGGTCTGGGGAGGAGCGACGGCGGGCCGCTGGCCATGTAGTAAGAACCAAGCCAATGTCAATGGCAAGACCCCCAGCCCTTGGGAGCGGAGGGCCGCGCTCCGCGAGGCGGCGGGTGCCCAGGCTGCTGTCACCGGTCGAAGCCCAGGGTGAGCCTTCCGCGACCGGAGAGCACCGGGGATTTTCTTTTTCCTTTCTTTTTGGCTGATGGTGTAGCTTTGCTCGCGACAGCTCTGCGGAGTGTAGGAGCCGGGGAGAGAAAGGGATGGAGGAAGGGGGTGGGGAGAAGCCAGAGGCACACACCTCTCTCGCGAGCCCAGCCCTAGGAAGTCAGACCACAGGACAGTGGCGGCAGCTGCCAAGGAGACATTTTCTCCCCGAGCAGCCAGGTTCCAGCGTCCTCTGCCAACCCAGCTTGCGGGCTCCCTGTCTACTTTTCTCCAAACAGGCTTTCTGGCGGTCACGGGATTTCAGCCTGGACGGGGATTGGGCGAGAGTTCCGCATATGGAGGCGCCCTTGCTGGAGCCTCTCGTTGTGGAGCTTGGAGCGTGTTTCCCTCTCCCCTCCCCACCCTACCGCAGACCATCTTCAGTTCAGGCTTCGGGCAGACTTTGAAGGGGTTGGGTGTTCTGGTCAGCTTTTTGCCCATTGCCTGCTCGTTATAAAACGTCGTGTCTGTGTCGGACTCTTGAAATCTGTATTAGATATTAATAGGTCTTAGTTGTATTTTCTTGGGGTGTCGAAGTAGCATATTTGATTGTAGGGTATAACTAGGTATTTCCATTCCCCCCCCACCCATGCCCGCTATGGCAGTGCAAAATTCACCAACCATTTAAAGAGTTAGGTAGCAGCTCTTCCTGTTCCAAGGGAGTAGGTAAAATAATGGGTGTTAAAAGAATTGTCAGTCAGACTATTTTCCGAAAGGTAAAAACAATACAACAGTGCTCATTAGATCTCTAAATGACATGGCTGTTAATACATTTTATCCAAAAGCTATCAATGTGGGTACAAGAGGGCTTCAAATAATTTTAAATGTTTTGTGAAATTAATTTCCTTTGATGTAGCTAGTCGATGAATGGCACTTTGATATTACTGTGCTGTCTCAGGTTTTAGCTAGACATTTGGAAAGAGCGTGCTTTCCCTTCAAGTAGATTGAGTTCTGGTCCCAGTTCTTTGTATGCTCTGACCAAGTCACTGGTCTTCTCTGACCCTCAGTTTTCCTAATTATAAATGGAAAGAAAATATTTCATGGAATTTTTGCCAGGATTACATGACTAAGTGGTTATTCAGTAAAGATTAAATTTTATAATTAAGAATGATTCTGCATATATTTATACCTTGTTGATTTGGAGCTTTCATATGGACTCTGCATTTTGGAGAATTGTTAAACTTATTTCCAAATTAGAACTCTGCAGCCAGGCCTGGCCAGGTAGCTCAGTTGGTTAGTGTCCTTGCCATACCAAAGGTTGCTGGTTCAAGCCCTCAGTCAGGACACATACAACCAGTGAATGCATAAATAAGTGGAACAACAGACCTGTATTTTTTTTTTCTTTTGCTCTCCCTTCCTCTGTCTCTCTAAAATCAATCAAAAAATATGTATAGAATTGGGCAGCCAGAATTATTTCATAGGTTAATAAACATACCTATCTTTTTGCTCTTAATTTATATTTCATAGACAATTATACACAGGTTATTTAGAGGTCTTGTGTTTAAGAGTCTTCATGTTGGAACAAATTTATACATCATGGCCTGATCACAGTAAAGCATTTTTTGTATCACAGTACTAAATGCTAGAACAAATTTCAAAATTTGAGAAATAATTTATTAAAAATGCACAAAACTGCCTCGGCTGGTATGGCTCCGGTGGTTGAAGCATGGTCCAGTAAACTGAAAGTCTGCGGATTTAATTCCCAGTGGGGGCACGTGCTTAGGCTGAGGGTTTGGTCTTTGTCCCCAGTGGGTGCCCATAGGAGAGGCGACGGATCAGTGCTTCTCTCCGTCTTTCTCCCTCTCTCCCCCTCTCTCTAAAATCAATAATTATGTCCTTGGATGAAGATTTAAAAAAAAAAAAATGCAGAAGACATTTTAGGTGGTTTTGCATGGCCACTATTGGAATTATCCAATTTACTTGATCATATTTTGCTTATTTTGAACCTAAGTCTTAGTGTGTCTTCACAGAGATTATTTACTCATAACCATGTAAGTCATTTGGAGGAAAAATTTCTTAGATACCAGGTTATTATGATCAGAACATAGGAAAAGTAAGGGGATTTTTTTGGTGGTATATAATTTAATTGGAGATGATGATGATAGATATTAAAAACAGTAAGTTATTAAATGACTTTTAGAAAACATAAGAAGAATTAAGACAAATTAGAATTACTGAAGTTAGGGGATTAGGAATAGTTTACATTAATTAATGGACCATTGCTAAGAATGCCTTTATAAAAATTTACTAACCAAATTTCTGATTATTTTCTTAGGTTCTTTTTATTTTGATTCTTTGCTGGGTCTTCCCAACTTCTGTTTAGTACTTACTAACTGCGTATTGCACAAGGAGCCATTTTGTATGATGGTTAAAGAGTCTCTCCTCTTACAGTATGCCTTTTAGCTAGTATGGCATAGTGACCTGAGATGAACTACCTGAGGTATCCAGGCCTTAGTTTTCTCATTTGTAAAATGGAAACAATGTTAACTATATCACAGGAGTAAGTGAAAATTAATGTATACAAAGAAGTATTCTTCAAAATAATTAACCTGCATACATACGCATAAAAGAATTAAAAAAAATTCTCACATATTTTCAAGTTGACATCTATCATTTGTCACTATTTAAGTAGTTGAGAAGTGTTATCTTAAACCTATTGAAAATATTAACACTTTGAAATAAAACTGTTATATCATTTTAAATGCATGCAATTAACTATAAATACTAGAGTAATGTGATGGTATCTGTTCTATAAAATATATGAACAGGCTCCTAATGATCTGAAAGTTTACATTGTTCCTTTTTGTCTTTGAAATTATTTCCATGCATTTTCCCTGCAGAATTTTATAATGTATTTTTGTGCTTGAGAGTGCTTTTTTGATTACCTGTCTGATTTCTCTGCCATCATGTATTCTTGTGAATAGAAGGTTCTAAATATTAAGTGTCTTTTGGCTTGCATTATTATAATTAATATATAATTGAGTAAAATTCTAATAGTCATGGTGCCTTGAATATAGGATGGCTTTGCTGATACCCTCGTATAAGAGTACACTACCTAAAATTTTAAAACCTCTATCATAAAATTAAAATCTCTATTTTAAAATTTTAAGTAGTGTATTCTTATAAGACATGGGATGGATGAGAGACCTGCCTTTTTATTTTAATGAGAGAAAGGCATTTATGAAGAAGGAGGTCAGACGTAGAATGAGTGGACACCTTAGACTGCAGGTGAGGTCTCAGGCAGATTGTCTTGAGAAAGATAACATAGGGAAGTTGAAGTTCTGAATTTGATTTCCATAAAACTTATTCATGCTTTTGTACCCCTTTGGAAAGTCTTGGTTTACCCACAGTGTGAAGTTGGTGAATTAAGTAGCCTAGTTTATAAATGGTAGAATTTTTAAAAATATTTGAAGTATCTTAATATTTTTAATATTAAGTTATTAAGGATATTTGTTACATGATTTTTTATATTAAAAATCTTAAAGGAAATCTAAAAAGAAGCTGATTTTTATTTTTGTACTTTGAAATTTGCTATTGGTGTGGAAATCCTAGTTTATCAAAATTACACAATCATTGCTCAGTATCCAATGAGGATTGGTTACAGGACCTCTGAGAATACTAATATCTGTGAATATTCAGGTCCCTTGTAAAAAATGGCATGGTATTTGTATATAACCTACTCATATCCTCCTGTATATTTTAAATCATCTTTAGAATCCTTAGAATACCTAGTACAATGTAAATAGTTGTACAATATTGTTTAGGGAGTAATGATGAGAAAAAACTGTACATGTTCATTATAGACATAACCATCATAGGTCTAACTACGTAGTACATGTCCCCAGCAACATAATATTTTTTTCCAAATATTTTTGATCCCATTATTGGTGAGTCTGAACGTGGTGCCATGGATACAGAAGGCTGACTGTACTTTTGTTTTATGGTTGTTAATGTTCCCCAATTGGTCTCATAAATGTACTTTATCAACTGTAGTTAAGGAGATCTAAAAAATTTCAAAATTTTAATCTTATGTTTCATTTAATATCTTTAAAAACTTCAATGATTTTATTTCTAGAACTGTCACACTACTATATCTTTTAAAATTGTGGTAGCTTGCTATCTAGGTTTTGGTTGGTTGGTTGGTTGGTTGGTTTGTTTTTTAATCCATTCATAAATTAGGATGCGTCTAATGTTTTGTTATTTTGTTTGTGAGTAAAGTTTACTTCTTAGTACTATTCATGAATATCAGACAGTTTTAAGATAATCTTTAATATTGTTACAGACAAAAGAGAAATAAACATTAGGTTTGTATCCTTTCAATATTTTAGTTCATTTTAACTTTTGAGTGGAAACAGTGACACTTGATTGGATACAGAGTATCCTGGGGCAAATTATTTTTAATAATACAAGTTACTTTGTAGTATTCTTTTATAGCAAAGGAATCAGGCTTAATTTGTCAG